TTGTCACTGGAGGGAAGACTGCAAGAGTATGACAGCAACACAGCTTAGCCTGCCAATGCTGCAAATAAAATAATAAGCTCTTCTTACATGGAAGGAATTGTTTATAGAGCTAACGATGGAATATGAGGACTAGAAGGGGGAGGGGCATCTCACTTCCTTTAATGTCTCTCAGTCATTCTTCAAGCCATTTCATTACAGCATTAATACTGGAAGGTAGTTTCATTTTGGCAAATGAAATTATCTTTTATGGGAAGCTATTTTGCTCGTCTGCTTCAAAAGTTCAGTCTCTATGTTTAAAAGGGAGGCACATCATTGCTCTTTTCTAACCATCTGACTAGAAATGAGTGTTTATTTGCTTACTGGTGCAAATTGGGGTAAAGTGGGGCAGTTTATTATCTCTTCATGGATCTCTATGGGGGCAGAAGACTCTTACTAATGTTATGACAGGCAAGAGAAATCGATTCCTGCATATTAAATACAACAAGAGCTACATGTTTGCAGAGGTTTGGGTGAACAAACCAGAAAAGCAGAACTACTTTATTAATATATCAGTTTTAAGAAGCCTTTTCAGTGACCATAGAGATAGACAAAATGGGAAACAGTGAGTTCTTGTTAATTGATGGTTCTAATGTTGTGGGAAATAACTGAAGCAATAATATTGGAATAATAATTAAGAGGATAATTCTAGGCCTATTGAGGCAGAACACAGTGTAACAACTCTAAGCATGGCTGGCTACACATTCACAGGATTGTGCCCTAAGCATTGCACCCATGTGCAAAGTTCTTATTTTTTTTAGGGACCGCTTAACAGGGACTGCCAAAAATCAACAGATGAAAATTTTCCCATGGAAACACTAACATGATTGGAATTTCTTTCTATAACACTAATGTAAAAGGCACAGGGAGAGTGGGATAGGATTGAATATGACCAATATCCATCCAGGGCTTGTTTTATTATGAAATAAGACAAAGCAGATTTCAGAAAGGATGCTACTTTCTTGCACCTAACTTTCATCTCTGCATAGATTGACCAGATTGACCGGAGAGGGAGATAGCCCAAAGCAAGGACTAATTTGCTCACAGTAGTAGAGAATAGAAACAACATAACCCTAACTTTGTCTTTGTCCATATAGTACTGATGCTTTCAGTCCGAGAATGAAGTCTAAGGAACAATTCAGAGCACCATAATTCACATTAAATCATCATAAGAGAGCCAGTGTGGTGTAGTGGTTAAGAGCATGGGACTGGGACTCAGACGAGCTGGGTTCTAGTTCCCGTTCAGCCATGGAGCCAACTAGGTGACTTTGGGCCAGTCACAGACTCTCAGCCCAACCTACCTCACAGGGTTGTTGTTGTGGGGATAAGATGGAGGAGGAGAATGATGTAAGCTGCCTTGAGCCCTCTGTAGGAAAAGGCAGGATATAAATCGAAAAATAAATAAATAAATGAATGAATGAATAAATACTGTATTTTTCGCTCTATAAGACACACTTTTCCCCCCTCAAAAGTAAGGGGAAATGTCTGTGCGTCTTATAGAGCAAATGTGTGTGTGTGTGCCCAACACCCGGGACGCTGCCGGCCCGCCTGCACCACGTGGCACCACCTGGCCGGCACGCGCTTGGCACGCACTGCTCTGCCCCCACCTCCTGCGCAGGTGAGAGCTGTGCCACTCAGGGGGAGTGGTGCGGAGGAGGAGGAGCTGCGGGCTTTAACCTGCCGGCTGCACAGAGAGACAGACTGCTCATCCCCACCACCCAGGAAGACCTGCCATGGAGGAGGAGCCGCGGGCTTTAACCTGCCAGCTGTACGGAGGGACGGACTGCTCACCCCCACTGTCCAGGAAGAGCTGCCGCCACCATGCTGCCCAGAAGACCACCACCAGCACGCTGCCGGCCCGGCTGCACCACCTGGCCGGCACGTGTTCGGCGCGCCCTGCTCTGCCCCCCTCCTCCAGCACAGATGAGAGCTGTTAATCACAGGTCGGTGTGTGTTTTCAAATGGCAACCCGTCCTTTAATGAAGCCCATGGGGAAGTTATGGGGAATGTGCCTGTGATTATCAGGAAGCTTTCCATGGATCCCTCCTCTAAAAACTAGGTGCATCTTATGGTCAGGTGCATCTTATAGAGCGAAAAATACGGTAAATAAGACACTTTTGGAGAGCAGTTCAGTACACAGTGACTTTTAACAGCAGTGCATGCTTTATCTGGTTCAGTCCATGACTTCACTTAGAATGATCAGACACAGCCAATCAGAGTAGACAACAGGGAGCCAAATGGACAAGGAATGTGACCTGGCATAATGCAGGTTTCTATGTTCCTATGAATATCTTTTCATACTCTGGCATTGCAAAGGTGAAAGCATCATAATCCAAGGTTAAGCCACTCTGCCCAAGAAGCCAAGTGATCCAACCCATACAAATGGGGAGGAAGTAGTTATATCTGAGGGCTATAGGAATCAAGCTTGAGCACAAGAAAATCACAATTTGTGAAGGTTAGCATTTGAGCAATTATCTGTGATAGCTACAGCCTGGTGATGGCTTGCAACATGACAGTCATCAACCCAGACAAAGAGCAGAAAATACTGCCTGAGTTAGATTTGGATTTAGTAATAACACTTTCAATTAAAATATCAAATAGATAAATTTAAAAAATCCAAAACTGGCAGAAATAAAATGCGTTATTGCGCAAGAACAAACTGTATTCAACAACAATGTGACATGAACAGCCAGTGTGCTGTAGTCAGTAGAGTGTTGCCCTGCAAGTCAGGAGACCTGGGTTTTAGTCATCACTTGACCATGAAACCCAGGCTACCTTTGAGCCAGGCACAGACTCTCAGCCTAACCTAGCTCACACCACTTTTTTTTTTTTTTGAAGAGGGAAACTTTGTAAGCTACTTTGGATTCCTTGCAGAGGGAGAAATGCAGGATATACATGTAATGGAAGAAGAAGAATTCCAGAAACTTGAACTGGACACAGTTTTTATTATCAAAATCATTAACCAAATCACAGTATAACACCTCAATCATGTTCAATTAATAGCTCATCCTGCATGAAAGAATGAGGCCAAGCGTTGACAGTTTAGGTCAGGGGTCCTCAAACTTTTTCAACAAGGGCCAGTTGAAAGGTGCCAGTGGTGAGCATGGGCTGGCAGGGCTGTGCCAGCACAGGGTGGGCACTGGCCGGTGAGGGGGCCGGGGGTGCGTGCTCAAGGGAGGACGGGGGGCGCGCACGCAGTGAGGTGGGGGCGGGCGTGCACAGTGAGGGAGAGACGCACGCAGAGATTGTTTTCTCTGAGCGAGTCCAAAACGATCTCCACATGAGCAAGCCGTCACCAGGAGCACACACAGCGAGGCAGCGGCTTGCTCGCATGGAGATTGTTTTCTCTGAGCGAGTCCAAAATGATCTCTGCCCAAGCAAGACATCGCACAGGGCGAGTCCAAAACCTCTGAGGTGGGCTGGATAAATGGACATGGCGGACCGGATCCAGCCCGCAGGCCATAGTTTGAGGACCCATGGTTTAGGTACTCAGTTGGATTATTGCCCCAAAGCTGAGTCTTTAGAGGTGAAAGAAGAGTCTGCTTTCCTCTTCCAAACTTGTGGTTTTGAACATTTTTCATCTACCAAGCCATGCAGCTACAAAGATCTATCTCATACAGACTCCGTCTCACAAAGGTTCTCTTTCAAAGGAGGTTTGTCTCATCTCCTTGCTAATTTATTTTTTTGCTTTTTTCTATACTGTCTATTATTTTCACAGAAAATCTCAAGATGGTTAACAATACTAAAAATATAAGGTAATTTACTTGATTAAAATAGGATTAAATCAAACGTATTTTAAAATCAACAATTAAAATACTGGTTCAATAAGAGTTTTGGTCTAATGGCAGAAGAAATAAAAGAATTGGTGCCAGGCAAACCTTTCTGAGGATCATATTCCACAATTGAGGTGCCCCTGCTGAGAAGGCCCTTCCCCTTGTAACAGCCCTCCTCAATTCCTTCAAGGAAGGCTCTCGTAGGACCTCTGTAGAAGATCTTAAGGACCAGGCAGGTACATATGGAAGGAGGTGTTTCTTCAAATATCCAGACCGTAAACCATTTAGGAGTTTATATGTCATTGTCAACACCTTAAATCAGGCCCAAACCTCAGTCGGTAGCCAGTGCAAATGGTACAGAACCACCACTCATCTGCTAGGTCCTGTCAGTAGCCTGGTTGCTCTATTTTGTACCAATTGAAGTATTTGGATCATCTTTAAGGGTAGCCCCACATGAAGCACATTACAATAACCCAAACTGTTGGCTTTGTCGAAAGTTCAAACTAATGACTTTCATTTGTGTTTAAGTATGTTGTGATTGTTCTAGATCACTTCTCATTTTATGTAAATTGACTATGAATAGGTCCAGCATTCTCAGGTAGCTGTTAAAGATCCACCATTGCTGATGCCACTGCAGTCAACCATTGTCAACACTTTTCCAGTGAGCAGTAGGTGGCAACTTTAATAACTTCCCACAATGATCCAATCTGGTGAGGTATCATGGACCATTACAAGAGTAGGCAGCCAACCTCAGAAGAGCACTGATACCACTAGCCTTTTTCCTAACTAAGCCAGCCTGTCCCCCATCCCCATTCCCACACACTTTCCAGTGGAAATAAATAGTGGAACATGCAACTGGCTAAAACAGGGGAAGGCATACTGGCACAAACATGGCTGATTAGAAGGGGTACCGGAGGCATCCATGCTGACCTGGCACCAATCCTGATTATGAGTCCTACCAAAATCATGTGAAAAATGAGTGTACTGTAGAACACACCCCACAATTTTCTACAAAGTGATGGAATTCTGTGGCAGGTGCACATATTTCTTAGCTGACTAGTAGAAGTGTTAAGTATTCCTTGAAAGCAGGTCATTCAATGAGTATCCACTGTTTCTCAAGAGTCTTCTAAGAAATGAGTGAGGATAATTCATTAAGAAGACATGCAAAATACAGTTCCACATGCTACTTACTGTCCTCTGCTGTAACCATTACACTCCAGTTGCTGTATGCATCACCGTATCCATTGCAGGCAATAACTCTCATTTCATAGGATGTATATGGCTGTAGATCCTTGACTATGTAGTTTAAAGAAGCTGAAGGTTTTGAAAACAACCTGATCAACAAAATGAAACAAAATAAAATACACAAGAGAGGAGGAAAATACTGCATGCTCTACATATATAGAATTTATACTCTTGAAGTAAATCATAGTGATCATTTTAGTTTCCCCATTATCTAGGTAGAGTTTACTACTTGCTTACTCTAGGATATCTTCTGGGGAGTGCTTAGGCCTCATTTGGAGTCGGTAGCTGGGTAAGCCTGGAGCATTGTTGCGAACTGGTATAGACCAGACAACCTGAAGACTGGTCGGCGTGGCAGATGAAAGCCTTGGAGGCAACATGCCATCTGGTGCTGTCGAAAAACATGGATGAATTAGAGCAGAGAAAAATGTGAGCAACATATGCTGGATGGAATCAAAATGCTCCATACACTGGAAAAACTGTTCCTGAGGATCAACAGCAATGTAAGCATGGTCCATTTAATTCAACATCTTTTTTCATGACTGTACTATTGTGTGATATGCTTCCCATTGCAATGCCATTGTCTTCGTATGTCTGTGCTGAAACCATCCCTCCACACCAACAGGCTTTCAGCTATAGCACACACACATTCATTCAGCTCTCCATCTCCTCATTCTGAAGGAACTGGTTCTGTTTTCCTCGAAATGACACAGAGGTGGGCAGAGCTGCTCACACAGTTAAAGAGGAAGGGGGATGCAAAGAGACAGTTCTCCACAATTGTAAACCACCCAGGAGTCATTCAAAGACTGCATGGTGGCCCAAGCATAACCAACAGCACCACTGAAATTCTGTTCAGAATGCTGCCATCTATTTATATATTCATTTTAATGATTTATACACTGTACCTTCATCCAGAAAAAATGGATTATGAAGCAACACATACATACACAGAGAGCTAGGTCACGATCAATGAGAATTCAAATAATGTGATATTTGATTTAGTGCAAATTGTACAATGATAGCAGGTTGTGTTTAATGTAAACAAAAATTCAGTTAATGCGAACTTAATACACATGCAGTTGAGGTTACCCAGGTACAGCTTGGGTTTTAGAAGATGCTACTTCAGTCTCTATTTATTTATATTCACGTGCACATGAACTGCTGCCTGCCATAATATATGTTAGTTTTCCTGTTTTGTTTTAATCATTTTAAGAAGTTCCCTTAACCAAATGAACAAAAGGAAGATTCTTCAAATAAAATACTATGACTGTAAAAAAGAAGAGCAAAAATTTGACATCATGAATGTGGTTATAGCAACTCTAAAACAGAACAAGATGTCAGAATGCCTGAATCTACTTAGGGAATATTATACCTTTACCTTTTATGTCCCCTGCATGTTTTATATCAGCTCTGTGTGGTTTGCAAACATCTACAATGAACAGAAGTGCTACAGTGATAGAAATAGATCTGGAACCATCGAGCTGGAACAATTACCATATTTTACACATAATTATAACTTCAAATAATACAAATTCGAATAATGCAATAATTTCATGGGATGCATTATCTGCACTAATCGAGACCTAGCTCTATATCTAAAATCAATATATGTTAAGGCAACACAAAACATTAAACAAGCCCACAATTGAACTGAGAGTAAACGTATACAATTAGCAGAAGAAACAACAATCTAAAATTCCTCAGCCAATCCCGCCACAACCCAAAGTTCTAATATGCTCCCAGGCACCCACTTTTCAAAAGCTAGCACCACCAACATTAAAATGCATTTCCATTTTACAAAATATGAAGGTCCTCCTTTGATTATTTTAATATAAAGCCTGGTTGATATGGAGGGAGGTATTCCTTCAGATGTTTGGACTAAGCCATGTTGCGCCAGTGGTGGCCAGTGCCCACCAAAGCTGGTGGGGCAGAGGCAAGGTCAACTGAAAGAAGGCCGAGCCAGCCTTAGACATCCTCATGTGCAATGCTAAGCATAGCTATAGTAGCCATGGAGATCTAAAAGGCCATTAGGCTTTAGTTGTTAGGAATAGTGGAATTGAGTCCCACGGGCTTATTCCCAAAGCAGAGTTACTCTTCCCAATACACTACAATCTGACAGTGTACCTCAGATCTTGAAGAATAGTAACTGGAAACTATATCTGGAAATAGTTCTAACTGAAAAGGAGTATCTATGTAAATAGTGCTATCTTAGGCATTTCACTCACAAGCAAGACTCAGTTATTTGAGTAGGGTTTACTCCCTGGTGTAACAAGTTTGAATCCTTTGTCTGTCTAGCCACAACACCAGAAAACAAGCATTGCTATGGTGCCATAGATTATTTACTGAACAGATTAATGGATACACGATTTTTTTAGAACAAAAAAGTGAACCAGTTACTCTCACAAAACAGAGCATGCATATTACTCTAACAAACTGGTTAGAAAGAATGAGAATTAAAACCCCTAAAAGGGTGTAAGAATGTAATATTGTGCATGCCTATGAACTCAATAGGGCTTACTTTTGTGTAGACAAATGGGCACAGGAATGTACTATAAATGAGGCAGGAAGTTGTTCAAATGCCACTTAATTAGAAGACATCTGAAGGGTTTGGGAAGTAAGTAACAGGAATACTGAACAGTGTATACAATTTATTTATTGTATATTGTATTGTATATGTATATGCAATTTATTTATATATGTGCCGTCCTAATCACAAAAAAGTCTCAGGACGGCTTACAATGTAATAGCATAAATAACATAAATACAATAACATAAATTTACAGCCAAATGTCCCGATTGATCATTTCTCACTTGATAAAGAATCTACTTTGCTGCAAAAGCTCCAGGGGAAGCTGGTGGCTCCTCTGTCAGTAGCAGAGGAGGCCCTATCTATTGCAGCATTTATACTGAACATTATAGGCCCCGAGGTTTCGGCAAGGGGCGGCATAGAAATGTAATAATAATAATAATAATAATAATAATAATAATAATAATAGGCGCATATATAGTGGTGGTGAACCTGTTTTGGGGACAGAGTTCAGCACATGGCTAGCTCTCATCAAACTCAAATTAAAAGCAGCATTGTATAAGGGCTCCAGTGACAGTGGAGTCAGTGTAGGAGTCACCAACCTTCCTGCTGCCAAGGATTAGGAAGCCCACAGCTTTGTCTTTTAACTGCAAGAGAAAACGTGCAGGCATAAAGAAACAAACACACTACAGGCAAAGAGGAACAGACTAAGGGGCATCTCAGGCAAGGCCTTATGGTGCCATCACCCTGTCTCATCCATGAAATTTTATGAGGAAGGCAGACAATAATGCATTCCACTCATAACCCTCCTGTGTTTTCTCACTGCTTCTTCTGTCTTTTTATTGAGGAAAATTAAAGGAGAAAAGATTGAATTGCCGCACAAGGCCTCCCGAATGTCAGCACTAAGGCCCTCCATCTGGAAGCACACCAAACATCAAGAGCCTTTTCTTAGTCCATCAGGTTTTTCCCATTCACCTGCACTTAAAACGCAGCTCAACCCTTTCAAATACATGGGCATTTGAACTTTAAATTGTGATTCAAAGAACAAGTAAAGATTTTGAAAAATCCTTTAAAGAAGAAGAGGGAGAAATGCTTAGATTTGGTTCCAATACTTGGCATTTGTTTTGTTTCACTTTGCTGCTAGCTGTTTTCATTACTTTGCAGGTGCGAACACAAACACACACATGCATACCCTTCTTAATCCTGTTCTCCCTAATAAATGGTATTTTATTAATACCCATCTACAGTGATATTTGTAGTTTGAAATAATAAATGCAAACAAGCATTTTAAATAATTCCTCAGTCTAATATTATTTTTTATAGCCTAATCCTAGCCAAATGAATCAGGAAGACTTGGACTTGCCACTGTCTATTCTACTATGTTTGATAGTAAATTCTATATGACCTAATGCTCTATTTATTCTGTTCTGTAAAAGTTTTTAAATAGTTGTGCAATAAAATGCAGTATTCTGCATAAATCAACAGGGTGTTATTTTTACATCAATGTCAACAGTCATCACAACTGTCTAATATAATTAACACTGTCTCATAACCAGACCACATATTTGTGAAACAGTGAAAACAACAAGAAGAAATATTTTCTTTTTAAATTATAGGCAATTACAAATGAATTTGGTCTATGTCAATCTAGGAAAAGCTGAATTTGAACCACAGAGGATTTGTACACATGCTGGATGATATAGGCTATTTCTGTGCATTAAAGATTGGCTGTAATCTACACCTAATTTCAGAAAACATAGAAAGTGAACAGAAAATTGCATTCTAAAGAATCAAAGTACTCTGTCAGTCTCTCTTGGGCAATAACCTTAAAGGTGTTCTGTAAATCTAGTCACATGGTGATAATTAAAATTATCAAGTGCTTTCCAAGCAACCGATCACCTGCAAACATAGCCAAAATGCCTATTTATTATCAAAAATAAAGCATTTCACATATATTTAATAATGGAAATGTTTTAGGTAATAGTTATCTGTATATCTCTTAGTCCTAACTTCTCCTCCAAGGAATTCCTTAGTACTTAAGCAATAATTAGAAGGCAGCAATAATTTCTCTATCACATTCTTAACATAAGAGGCATGTACCTATCAAGGTGATATATTGTCTCTAACAAGCAATGCTACTCAAAATGCTCTCCTCAAGGTTTAATACAGCCCTCAAGGGGCAACCACTCCACTAGCAACTTACTGAATCAACACATCTTGTCCAGTAAATGCTCAATTAACATGGTGAAAAGGCATGTGGCAATTACTTATACAATTACAAGTATAAAAGAGTAAAAGAATTAAAAAATTGAATTACATTCCTACAATTACAACCAATAGTTTGTTACTTACAATGCATATTGGACTGGTCAATGCTGACATTCTGGAGATTAAGAGAGTTTAAGTGAGGATAAAATAGTATTGTAAAGAGAACCCTTGTTCTTCATCTGATTCATAAAGCTAGGGATGTATATGAAGAGCATTACATCTAGTTCCATCCTCCGTCACTCAACCACCCAGTTAAAGTTTTATTTTGAGTCTGCCTGATGTAGGGATAATATTGTGCTTTGTTGGCCAGTAATTTCATGTAAGATAGTATAGAATAACTTTGCAATGTATACAATATTTCCCCTAATTTGGTGCCATGCAGGATGAGGGTGATACGAACCATATTCCAAACCATATGGAAGGGGAAAGTTGACCCACAGAAATGCATAGTTTAGGAATATAAATACTGAAAAACCTGATATTTATATTCCCAAACTATGACCTGACCTTGTCAAAGTACAACAAATTCCACCTCAATTTTTATGATGACTTATGTCCATTTCAAGTTGCTATCGGATTTTTTCCAAATATATGCA